GGGTCTACAGAGAGCATATTCACTTTGCTCTCTTTAAAGATTTCTAGGGCTCCTGGGCACTGCATTTCCCTTTGCCCATAATGCAGTGGTATATCCCCATAGCAGAAAGAACTATTGCTTCTGCCCAATGAAAAGGCAATTTTCCTTGCAGGTTCAGTTCATGCTTCCTGCAGTGATACTCAAACCATAGACAAGAGAGATCACATCTTTCAGGCATATTTTAGTTCTTAAGTCACTACAGATCTTAAACATGAGCGAGTTTTGCTCCTTTCCAACCCTGATTCTGTACAGAATTAAAAATTACCACAGTGCTATGATACATTTAGTTTAAGGATGAAAGAAGCAGGCTCTTTGTAAATTCCAGTCTGAAATAGCACTTTGGCTGCTACAGATACAGTGATTTCTGGTACTTAGTCTGAAAAATTCTGCCAATTCAATCCAGAAATGTCATCAAAAGAACTGTAATTATTTTTCCAGATAAACCACCCATGCTTCATAATGATTTGTAAATAATTGCAAAAATTAGAACACGTTGTGTTTTTGCTTTCAATGTACTCTTTTCTTCCCTATTTATATTTTTTCTCTTTATTTAACTTTCTCTCATTTTCCAGATGATATGACCAATGCTCTGGACAGTTATTAGTTCCCAGTTAAAACATTCCACGCTTGACAGTGTGTACATAACATTAAAATACAGGGTATATTATAAACACCAGCTATAATGTTCTCCTTTTCCCCTCTTCCTATTTTATTATTCACTTATTAAGAGAAATTGAGATCTAAGACATGAGAGATTGTTCACTGAAAAAAGACGTAGCTACAGCCTGGCATACAGTCCAAGTTAGCTGAACTATTTCCAGTATGTACTGGCAAACTAAAAAGAAGGATTATTAAGATTCTCTAGGTCTTTCTCTCACAATATATTCTGGATACATATAAAGAACATACCACAATAAATTCAAACTATTTACTTTCAGAGAAGCAGTAAGGCTTCTTGAACTTCTATGAAATCTCACTTTGTATAGTTCATTTTTGAAGGCGTAAATTAGTGAACGTTCTTGCATTTATTAGGTTCACGCTAAGCTTATGTTCACCAGTATCACAGAAACTGGTGGAAGTTCAGGAAATTAAGTGCTAAAGAGTGAAACTGGGGAAAGCTCAGAAAATTAAGTGCTAAAGAGTGAGATTTTCTTCGGCATTCTTTCAGTGTCATGTATGACATGCTTGTAGTGTTCCCTTTTCAGTTTCTGGTGATGCTGGCGTGGCCAAAGTTAACCCAAAAACTTAAGTTTAAGAAGGATAGAGTTTTAGAGAAGAGAATTTAAGATATTATGGTGGTACTGACTGAAGCTCTTGCATCAGTGTTAAGAAGGGAATCTCCTGCCGGATAGCAAGATGCATTGCCCTGGGCTTGCACTTTTAAGTCTAGGTGTAGATATCGGAATAGACTGCATCTGAGAAATAGGGCAGAAAGCACCCATTCTCATGGTACAGAAATGGCACGAAAGAGCAAAGGCAAGCAACCACTTCTAGAGTTTCTGGTTTAAGGCAAGTATACAAAAGCAGAGCCAAGATGGAGAAAATAGATGTAGGAGAAACATACAGCAGCTCATAATCTTCCCACTGGTATTACACTGTAGTTGGCTGTGGAGACCTTTGAATGGGATATAGTAAACTAATACAATGGTGAGTTGACTATATTCTCCTCCAATTAGCAGAATTTCTGTGATTATAGTCACAAAAAACAATTAGTTATTGCTCAAGAAGAAATTAAAATAATTAAGTAAAGAATATAAAATCAAGTCTTAATCCTAAAATTCCTATTCCTTAGGAAAGACTGCTGAGTCTAGCCTGCATTTACAAATACCGAACAAGACTGCAACAATAGAACAAGACTGAAAAATTATTGCCAAAGAGCATGGCAATAATCTCACAGGAAAGGAAAAAAGCTGAAGTGGATTTTTTCCTGGACAAACTAGAAAAAAGAATCATTCAAAACTGTACAGGGATTGAGAGCAGCAAAGGCAAGTTCAATATGCATTTTTAGCTACATTTACAGCAAAAAGTTCTTCACTGCCTTTGGGAACAGCAGTGGAGTTACAGAAAAGGTATGTGACATTTTCTTCTTGTGGTTGTGATACACCTGTATGTGGAAACAGTGCTTCCAGTTCTAAACTATCATCATGAATTCAAAGAGCTAACTCTGCAAAAGACAAAATTAGAAGACTATAAATACTGGAGGGAATAAAACTTAGGAATATTGCATTACCAAGAGCGCAATAAGTGGCATTAATATACAGAAATGGAGAGGTTACAACTTAAATTTCAAGAAATCTTTCCGTCCGTATCTGGACACATTGTTTTAATCCAAAACATCAGGACATTTAAAGCCAGATAGGAAAAACTTCTGCAAATGGGAACAATCTTACCTTGACACATTACTTAATGTCTTTTTTCATCCTTAAATTCTACAACCAGAAAAAGATATACTGGTTAATATATCAACCCTTAATCCCAGAACAATGTTAAATAGCAGCCAGCTATGCTAGATATTTCAGCTGTAGAAAACTCACCAGGAAATTCTGAACATCTGGCTGGCTACTGATGTTCATTACTAATCAATCTTGATACAATGGAGAAATTCCAGAGGACTGGAAAAAACTATTATTATGTCAGTATTTCAAATTATTAAATTGGATCATTAGGATAATTCTAAGTCAGAGGGAAAATAATGAAAAAGTTGATACAGAATGAAACATGTAAATATAACTAATACTGATACAGATTTATAGAAAAGACAGTTTGTCAAATGTATTTGATTGCTTGAACAAGACCGTAAGTTGGCAGATAATGGTAAAAGTTTGGATTGATATTCTGAGGCTTTTATAAGGCGTTTTGATTTAGAAACCAGAATGACATATAATCAATATGGTTCTCATTAAATGGATTAAAGACGAGCCAGGAGTTAGATCTCAAAATACCTCAGCGAAAGGGAACTAGCACTGGCCAGCTGCATTTTGAGCATAGCCCCTGCAAGAACTGGTTCTTGTTTTTTTTTAATCCTTCGCCCACTTCAATTAGGATTATTTGAATCATGTTTTAACCAAAGGATGTCATAGAGTTCTTGCAACCCAGAAGGCAAGCCTAGATACTAACAAAACTTTGGCTGTCTGATCTAGGAGCACAGGGTGGGATATAGGAAGAATTACTGAGTCCACAACTGTAGCACTGAACTCTTCTGTTTGGTGTTGCTTCATACTGAAGGCACCCGAATTTGGTAGATTTCACAATTTTTACTTACGCATTTCACAAGCACCCAACATCTACTTATGCAGGTATCCAGAAAAGCCTCAATCTTGACTCCTAAGCCCCAGTTTGCCAATATCTTAGGAGTGGTTTATTCACGGCTTTTATGGTGTGCCCAATGCACAGCAATCAATCAATCACGCTTACCTCCTTCCTCTCCTTTTTGAATCTTAAACCTTCTCTACAGAAAGGCGGTTATTCAGCAAGAGGAGTAGCCTGCCCACCTTCTTCAGAGCACCAGGAACATGTGTTTGAGATGCTTTCTGTGGGATACGTGGGTCTGACTACCCTCAGACAGAGTAAGTAATTTAATCTGGACCTGCTGCATCTTAAGTCAATAAGCTATTGTATAAGTGGACTGGTATTATTAGCTCCGTTTGATCCTTCTCTTTTGCTGTTTCAAAAGAAAGGAAGTATTCCTGTTCAGTATAAGCTAAAAACATCAGGTCAGCAGAAAAACACCAATTCCTGCCTTTGAACTTTCCTCCAGCTTCAAGTTGAAGCATAAGCTGTATAAAGAGCAAGGTCTAATATTCAGCCTGTCCTTACATAGCTGCTTGGTCAGTGTGTTTTGTTCTGAACCCTATTCTGAGGCCCTACTTCTCCCCACGTGGTGGGGACTGAACACACCATATTTCGAGTATCAGGTTCTCCTGTAGGGCCTGCATGCATAAATCTTTATCTACCAGTAGCCATAAAGCAATAGCTGTCAAGAATAAAAAATGAAGCTGACAGAAGTCAAGAGTAGCTGTCATGCCTAAAACTTGTGTTTAAAATCCATTCAAAATCTGTTTCTCCCCACTCTGTTTCACTCCCCCTCCCAAAAAAGTCTCTTCTCTGGTCAGACTCAAGAGCAGCTTAATTTCTTGACTTGTAGTATAGTTGCATGTGACTCTGGTAACACAAACAGTTTTTTCCAGACTGCTTAGGCAGAGATTAATCATTACATAATGCTTTGTGTTGGGAGGCAATGGAGGACATGGGTCTGGAAATGCAATGAACTGGCAAAAAAGATTGCTGTAATTGTCAGGAGTATGGCAATAATTGAACACTGCATATGTTACTAAATGAGAAGCAAGCCATAAAAGATCTTAAAAGTGAATTCACACAGTTACCTGATTCACTAGAAAATTACGACCAACTGGGAAGACAAGGCAAGGAGAAGGAAAGATTAAAATGCTTTAATAGGCAATTTGTTTGTCAAGGATGGAAAAGTTTATTCTGAGTTACAGAAATTTAAATAGATACCTTTAAAACCTTTTTAGCTATGTAAATTTAATGGAGAATTATAAAGAACAGCTTAGCTGGAATAATGTAAATGAGATTTCCATGGATGAATCCCAGTATAAACACTTTGAGCCATATTTTGAGCTTATAAAAATATCCTCTCAAAGTAAAATAGCTTGTTAAGTAATTAAATATTTAAAAGCTGAATCAGAAGTTAGATTCAAAACAGCCTTCTGGAGTGAAAACATCAACTTTAAACACAGGATATGTTTCATGGTTTTGGTTGAGGGTTTTTTTTTGTGAAAAACAAGTAAAAAGAAACACTATTAACTTGTGCACAAATAGTCAGAATTCAACTGCAAGTCCTTTAAATTTTTGTTCTTCTGACATGAACACGTTTAGAAATAGAAGGCAAAGTGGATCCTCAGCTGCAACTTGGAGCATTGTGCTCCACCTGACAATTCTCTTCACCGCCTTTCCGCACAGATGAGGTATGGCTGTGGTTGTAATGTCATGCCTAATCTTGGTTTGAGATCTGGAATCACGCCATGAGGAAAACACAGGTGAAATCGTTGTAGTAATGAAGTGAAAAACAAAAACATTTCCATTCGAGCTAGTTGTTCTCCAAGACAATGTCTTCTTCCTGGATTGAAAAGAAGGTTTTGAAAAGACTTAAAATGTGTTGTTACATTTTCACTCTTATTATGAATAAGAATGGTCATTTCTGTGTTCTAAGAGCAGCTGTATGAACTTGGTGACAGTATTCTGTAAGAGAGGGTAGGTGATAATTTACAGCAAGAAACAGATTTTAGAGAATTTGTTCCTCTCACTACAGAAATGCCATTGTAACTAATTCTGTCAAATTTATTTAGATAAGCTATTAGCTACTTTATCTTGTCTTGAAGTGCCAATCTAGACAGAAGATGTTTTAAAAAAATGATACTGTGAATTTCAGCCTTTGTCCCCTACTATTTTCTTAATTACATCTACTGCCAGTCATTATTACCTGGTAATTACTATAACTTGGTAAGTAGAAAGATATGAAACAGGTCTGGACAATGCCTTTAAATATTAGTTCCCATTCTGTGTATGACTAGTTACAGGGAGTAAATGTGGTTGTGGAAGACACAGATGAATGGATAACAACATCTGGAACTGGTAAGGTCAAACAGGCAGAAAGAAATGTAATAGAATACACAAAAAAGGTGGACTTCACCAAATCTATCTTTGGACATTTAGATGTTGTGCATCTATCCCAAGGGAATTGTCTTGTCACCTTCTATTTTTTTTTTTTTTTTTGAGAAAGAGTATCCCAGATAAGTAAACTAAGTCACTCTCTGCACGAGGCTATGTATTTCTATGGACTGCAGAGATAGCCCTGGCATAAGCTTATACAGAACACCTAATATTTTAGGTTGATAATCATATGTAAGGTAAATTATCCACTCTTACAGGCATCAAAAGACAAATCCATAATGATTTAGGACTGCCAGAGTATTTCCTCAGGACAGAATGCAGTGCTACATGTTGACCCCCAAGCTAGTTCTGAATAAAATCTGCAATTATTTCTGGTGCTGATCTAATTGTTGAAATTCAAAAGCTGGTTGTGTAAATCACCTGTAATAACTTTAGCAGCGAATGACTATTAGTTGTGAAACAAATAACACTTACGTACTGCAATGATATAAAATGTATAGACTCCTTTGATATGAAGATATTGTGCTTTTTTGTCATTTATATGTAATAATGAGCTCATCCATGTAAAAGATATTATGCTAAAATGCATTATGTCCAGAGGGCATTATACTGAATATCTTTAAAATAGCTATTTCATCAAAACTGTGGATATTTTATATCATTCTGTCCATTCCTGATTTATTGCCATCACTTATATGTTATACATCTCTAGATTTATGAAAAGGAACAATGGAAGGAATCATTCTTACCTAGTGAAAAAGGAATAAATGCATCTTTCTTGACAAACTGCCCGTTGCTGTCCAAAAATCTCTCAGGAAAAAACACTTCTGGATTGCTCCAGTATTTTTCATCAAAATGAACGGAGTAGAGGTTTGTAATGACTGTAGTGCCTTCAGGAATAGAGTAACCACGCACAACAGTATCTTTGGAAGTTGCATGAAAAATACCCAGTGGAACTATATTACAGAATCTTAGAACTTCATGTAGAACAGCCTCAGTGTATGGCATTTTGCATTTCTCATCTAAGGTAGGCATTTTGTTTGGGCCGACGACTAAATCGATTTCTTTTTGAACTTGCCCTGTTAGGAACAGGAATAAAAGCTGATGTTTATTGTGTAATATCCTTTATTTTTTTAATTTAAGCTATAAAATATGTACTTTTAAAAGGATACTGAAACATGAAATATCTTATATAAAATATACTAGCTTATAAGCTTTTAAATTTAGACTCTATATTCCTTATCCTGCTAGTAGGACTATTACTAGCATATATACCAGTAATCTTCATTTTGAAAGTAATTATTCTCAGTAAAATCGTGTTTTAACATACTTTTCTTTGCTTGTGTATATTTTTATTTCTGGAGCTCTTCAAAACTAAAGAAACAAGCGAAGGACAGCAAAGATACAGTACATTAAATACTTGAGTGAACACAGAGAACACTGAAATTAGCCACTTGAACTTTCTGTTGTCTAATTCTGCTATGATTCTTTAGAATTGTCACAGTGTAAAATCATTCACTCTTAACTGAAAATATCTGATACAACACAGTGAGAGTTAAGAGGGATGTGAGTCTGAATTTAACTGAAAAGGAACAAATTCCATCACTGTTTTTTTTAAGCTATTTTAAAAATTAAGTTCACAGGTTATTTAAATAATCTCAAAGGCATTCAAACTGCCTCTTCTTTTTCCTGACACACTTCCTTTGTTGAAACTGCCAAACAGCTCCTAACTAAAACAAAGTTGGACTTTTACAATTCATGTGGAACCAATAATGAAAATCAGGAAATGGCAGAAAAATTCTACCAAAATCACCAGGTTTTTCAACCTGAAGTGACAACATTTCACATCAAGATAAAGCTGTGAAAAGCAGCTGAGTGAAAGTACATTCCGTGATGTAGTGGTGTATCGGTGTATATTGTAATACTTGGACAGAGAAAGTCTAAATAAATGAAAGGTAACAATAATTTTTATTTTTATTCAGATGAACTGATTGTGAATCAAAATACAGAAACTCATTATATTACAAGACCTGAGATCAGAAGATTATTTTAGGTGAGTGGATCTCTACAAAATTGGCCAATGCATAGGAGACACAAAACTATAAAGTTTTCTTGATCTTTATTGAAAAACCGTATTTGGTCAGATCTTAATAGAGAAGGAATCAGGATGTTCTTGTTTTAAGATATGAATATTGTGAGCCAGGACAGACTGATCAGAAACTTTAAGTGGACCGTTTTGCATTTGGGCTTTTTATATAATGTAAAAGCATAAATACATCCTATTGACTAATTATGGCACTTAATATAATTTTAACTAAAATATGGACAATATATATATGCATCCTAAAACTTAAGTACCTATAAAATCAGATTCTATTTTTTTCATGTTATTAAATGCTTTTCTTGTTTGGTAGATTTTCTTATACTGTGTAAAGCACATAGATGAATCAGTGGAACGCAGAAGCATAAAAGCAACATTTAATTTTTTTAAACCCATTTGTTTTAAATCACCTGAAATGTGCTGACTGGTTAAAAATAGCAATCGCAGCTTCAAGCTTCCACAAAAAAAAAAATGTTAGCTGCACTTAGTGAGCTGAAGCTACATATTTCTCTTAAGTGTGTCCCTCAAAGTTTTTAAATTAACAACTCAGATCCTGTTAGATCTTGCTTTTAATCCTAGGCTAGAAGAAAGTTTTCCTATTTTTTAATCTTTACTCAGTTTCCTCACATTCAATTAATTAATCAACTAGCTAAAATAGTTGAGTAAGTGAAAATAAGAAAATACGTAAGAGGTTATGGCTCCCAGGAGATATTTGAGCGAATTTTGGTTCTACTTGCTTAGCCAGGTGTTTTAACCAGCTCAGTGAATACGTGACTTAAAATAATGATAATAGCACCAAGAAAAGAGCTTTGCCATCAACTCCTTTATTTTATCTGAATGATTTTCACTGTTTATAGCATGTTAAGCCTTGACATGCATTATCTTCGTATTCTAATTTTCATTTTTTTCAAGTAAAGGTGTAAATACAAAATTCAATCTCTAATTTTAAAATAATAATTGCTTTTTGTCCACCCAATTTAAATTAAAAATTATTCTAGCTGAGAAAATCAGAAGGTATAGAGTCATGCATCTACTACCATAAGAAGAAAAGATAATGTTTCATACTTAAAGATATCTGGTTCCTATGCAGAACTTCAAATCTCAAGAGCCTTATAGCTACAGGTATTGTTGTTATCCCCATTCTGAAATGATGATTATGGTGAAATTGATGTTAGCGCAATATTCTTTGGTCAAAGTATCAGTAATAACTTTCCACATTATCTAGGCTGCTTTTTCTCCAAATACTGAAAGTCCCTAGTTGAAATAAGCACTGCTAAGGTTTTGATAGGAAAAGCAAAGTGGAGGCAGTGAAACAAGAAATGTGACTGTTCACTTCTAAAATCCAAACTTCTACACAAAATGTCTGGACTGACATTCAAACATCTATTGCTGTCTTACTTCAGCATGACTGTAACACATATTTTTATTTTTAAATTTTAAATATTTTTGTTCTTCCAAAAGTATAAATATACATGTCTATAATACATACATCTATCATGAATTGAGGCACTTAAGGATAAAAAGAAATCGTACCTAAACTGTTAACCACAACCTGATTTACACTTTTGCTGATGTTTTTACATTTTTAATTTAGTTTATTAATTTAATATTTAATTGCATTTGCTTATTATTTATTAGCTACATAGATTAGTACATCTGCCAACCAATATCATGCATCACAACACTAAACTTAAATATATTAGAAATACTTTATTAAAAATATTAAAGCTTCATAAAAATATATTCGGAAAATAATATGCTAAAATGTAATCATCATACTTCACCTTTGACAGCCTCTTCATCTGCATATAAAATAAGCTTTTCACATCTGTCCATAGTATATTTGGTGAATGATACAATAGAACAATATATACAAACCTTCCTTTTTGGTTACAACTATTGATCACTGCACCACTTTGAACAAGCATTTTAAATTTGCAATAGGAAAGTGTATCAGTTCCTCAAAATGTCAAAGTTCTTACCTTGAATGTTTGGATAGAGCGCCATAAATAACAGTGCCCATCTTAAAACATTTGTTGTGGTTTCTGTCCCAGCTATGATGAGTTCTCCAACAGAGAAAATTAAGTTTTCTCTTGAATATGTAGATTCTGGATCATTTTCATTGCAATCCATCTCATCTAAATATGCGTCTACAAAATGTCGAGGTGACTGAGGCTTCCTATTTTCAGAGACACGTTCAATAAGCTCATGAAGAAAGTCATAGACTTCAGCTGCATTTTTAAACAGCTGCTGGTGTTTCCCAAATGGCAAGATACCAATCCAAGGAAAAGCATTATACAGAAACACAGAAGCACTAGCAGCTAATTCAATATTTTCACTAAAAATCTCAATCATGTGCTGAAATTCAGTATCTTCGTATGTAAAACGTTCTCCAAAAATAATCAAATTAGTAATGTTTGAAACAGCATTTGTTATCAAGTGCTTAAGATCAAATGGCCTGCCTTTGTATGTATCAATGGCATCAAGAAAAAACATAGATTCTTCTGAAATTTTGTGTTCAAAGGACCTTTGACCATATCCGAAAATTCGAAAGGTATTTACAGCTAATTTGCGATGTTCTGTCCATCCTCTGCCATATTTACTGTTCAGTAAGCCTGAAAAAATATTTTGACACAGTATTTTATGCAACGCTTTATTTTCCCCCCATAAGATAATAAAATTATTTAACAAGACAAAAAATGAGACAAAAAAATTACACACATCTTGCTATGGAACATAGTGCAAGAGTGACAATCCTTTCCAAATAATATCTTTAAGGAAGCATCAAGTATTTTATGAAAGGAGATAAAGAAGTAGAGAAAACGGCTAAAGCAAATGTTTCACGTGATCACAAACCCATCTATTGGACAAAAATTACATTTTTATATAAAATACATTAGCACTTACCTCCCATGTTTGTCAGCTTCTTAAACAAGGGAAGAGACGGTCTATCTGCAAAAATTTCGCTTTGATGAACAAGGCATTCTTTTACCGCATCATAGCCATTCAGTACAATAGCAGATATACCTCCAAGATCAAGACTGAAGATCTTTGGGGGAAAAAATAATAAAAATTGTGAAATACTATTACAACCAAATCTTAAGAACAAATAATGAAAACAAGTAAATACAAGTAACGGAAAAGTGAAACAACACTAAACATCAATGCAAAATACAGACTTGGCTAAACTTCAGGAGGGCGTACAGGTAACCAGAGGCGATACAACTGTAGCATTACACAGTAGAGCCTGTTGTGAGCTAATTTACTCTGTCAAAAGATAAAGTAAATTAGCCTACACTACACTGTGCTTTGCTGTGCACCTAAAGTGACCAGCTCTCCAACGTAAGGACGGGGGATGCTTTCATATAGTCATTAAAAAAACGTTAATTTGGTACGACAATGCATATTTTCCAGAAAAAAATGTACTGAGCCCTGACATTAGTAGAAATAAGTAGATATTAGTATAAGTATATAAGTATATAGCACAACACTATTAGATAGAAGGTATAGTTTTTATAGAAGATCTAGAAATATAGTACATGTATTGCCTACTTTCCTAATTTGCTGAGACTATTTCCACAGGAGGGAGGAAAGCTTTACTACTGTATCTGCTCCTCCTCCCTGCCTGAGTAAAGGTAAATTCCAAGAGTTTAATTTGGTTGAGGGCACTATGACTGGCACTACAAGTTCACATCACGAAGACTTCCAACATGTCACTTAGTAATGGCAGACACAGACGTGGTGTCAGTTGTGAAAATAACCAAGCTGCACCCAGTCCTTTCTACCTCTGAAACTGGACGCCAGCTTACTTTGCACAGGCTCCCAAAGAACCATCAGATGATAGAAGTGAGAGCCATGATGACAGCCAACAAATGACAGCATAGCCCAGCTAGTCCCATCTCCTGTTTCCAGAAGTGGTTAGCACTAGATGCTTTGGAGAAAGATGCAATACATCCTGCAGAAGGCACATACAGGATAAACAAAATGAAAATCTTAACCTACGTTTTAAAAATTAAAACTGAGGCTAAACTCAAGACTGAAATCCTATACCCCTTTCCATACTTTTCTTAGCATTATAAAGCTGTATTTTTACCTATACAAATCTCTAGTCTCAACCGAAAGGGTAGTCAGGCACTGGACCAGGCTGCCCAGGGAAGTGGTTGAGTCTCCATCCCTGGAGGTATTTAAAAGATGGGTAGATGTGGTGCTGGAGGACGTGGTTTAGTGGTGGACTTGGCAGTGCTAGGTTAACGGTTGGACTAGATGATCTTAAGGGTCTTTTCCAAACTAAATGATTCTATGACTATTTTGTTTTAGCAACCTTGATATTTTCACTGTTTTAATGGCTCTCCTTTTTTATGCGACAAGAAGACACTCCCAATATATTTCTGCAAACCATTTGTGCGTTTTGTATACTTGGATCATAGCTTATTAATCTTTCTTCCTATGTCATACATAATTTAAAAAAAAATCCTTTCATTCTATTTTTCTAGAGCCCCCCAAATCCTGATATGCCATCTTCAAGTTCCCTTAAATTCTGCAGGATCCTTTCTGACAGCAGCTGACTAGAACTACATACAGCTTTCCAGGCAAGTAGAAAGCTTAGTTTATTTGATGACACATTTTCCTTCCTATTCCCATTCTATTTGTCCTAGCATTTGGCTTGAAACACATTTACTTTTTCCTATTGCCAAAACAAATGAAACAAAAGATAATCCTATCCTTTTGTTTCTGCCATTTAGCATGCTTTTAATTTGTGTGCTTTGCTGCTTGCTCATGACAAGACTGTGACTATTCTGTTTCTGCTGTAGCTTTCATAAATGATCTGGACAAAAGCTTTTGACAGGCTAAAGTTGTAGCAACAGTTCTATGTGCTTGTTAGGGGTGTTATATTTAGACACTTGTAACGGCTTGAAGGACGTGATTTTCTAGACAAACCATTGTTTGTTGGACACAAAACCCAGTCCTTCAGAGACCTCCAGTGATACTCCCGCTAAGTAAAACACCCCAGGTGTTACAACTAGTCTGGAGATGTACAGGCACGCCGAAGGGCTGGCCAGCGTGTGCCTGCGGGCTGGCCAGCTGCTACCAAAACGTGTGTGCGCACATGTATTTTTATGCATGTGTATACATACACACTTACAAATGCTAACACCTGCCTGCCATTCCCTGCTAGATCTAGTTCGGGTTTAACTTTTATGAAGCTTGTAAGAATAGATTAGTTGCTTGAAACTAGCTAATGAGAAGAACGCCTGATATATAAGAAAAGTATGAAAAAAAGAAAAAAATCCATTCTTACGTAGTTATACTAATTGACTGTAAGTAAGTGCTCTAAATATCCCACTGAAGGTACTTCGAAGCAACGTGTTTTCAGTGAAAATGTTGCGTTATCCAAGTGCCTGCTATTTGGTGGCTGTAATTTTGTTAATTTTAAGCCCTTTTGGCGTGTCCAAGACTTGTGGATACCAAACTAGCGAGCTACTTCCACTTGCAGCAGGACACCAGTTTAGGCATTGTACCAAAAAGAAACAAAACAAAAGGAAGAGCCAGGCAGGCAGGCAGCTCCTCTCCGCCTCTACCGACCCAACGAGGGAGCTCTGGCATAAGTGAAAAACTCTTCTCCTCCGCCACTGCTCTGTCCCTGCTCCCCGGGGAAGGGCCGGCCGCAGCACCGGTTTTGCCAGAGCCTTGCGCTCCGGGCCCCGCCACCGACCGGGTACCGGGCCCTTTCCCCTGCCCCCGTGAGCCGGCGGGGCTGCTCCGCCCACGACGCCGCT